CTATACTAAAAGTGAACTTATAGGTATACTGATAGTTTACTAATTAAATACTTGTAGTAGCATTTTAGTACACTTTGAAGTATAGTCTTAGTAAACTACTAGTTTAGTAGTTTTATACTGCAAGTATACTCGTAAGTTCTTTAAGTGAACTTTACATTATACTTTAAGTATACTACTACGTTCCTATTTAGGTATTAATTTGTCTATATTTTGTTACACGAATATCTGAACATGCAAAACATCAAAAGAACAGGGTATCTGCTTGATACTTTCCTATTTTTTTGTTTAAAAGAAGTATACTAATAGCACACTTGAATAAACTTCTTTTTTGTAAGGGAGCGTCTCTTTTATTTTTCCTTAAATTTGTCCAAGATACCAAAATCTGCGATCATAAGTCTGAATATCTGCATGAATTGTATTGCCCTTACCTGACAACTGTTAACTAATTGTCATTTTTATTTACTTCTCTAAACGCATTTTAGTAGAAACATCTGAAATCAAGTTGACGTTCAAATGAACCTTAATCTCAGAACTGCATGTCTAGTTATGAAAGAGAAACTCTTTCTGAGCATTGAAATTTTCCCATAGGCTAGGTCTAAAGAAAGTTCTTTGAAGATAACAGACGTTTCTATTCTTACCTTATTCAAAGGTAGATTGAGAAACAGTTGTTTTTGTTGCGTTAATGAGTCACACTGTGAAGCGTCAGAAGTCAGTGGTTTGTGAACTTTTTTGGCTTTTACAGGTTGCAAAACTTGTCTGAGACGCAACAATTAAAGTCATGATGCACAACCATGTCAACGCAAACCATCAAATGCTTGATTGTAATTTGCACTGGAGATCTGCAGAATGTGATTTTTTTAAATATATAATTGTGTGTTTAGACCACTTTAGACTGTGCATTCATCTGATTACGATTAAGGAGGTTTAATTACGATTAACACTCTTTAATCATGGTAAAATCACTTCAGCTTATTTGACTTTGAGTGTCTTACTGCTTTTATAAAAATGCAGAGTAGTATGATATAAGACGTTATATAAAAAGTTCTATACAATAAGTTAAATTGATTAATAACACAAAAGAGTATATTTTGAAAAATGTATAGTGTTTATAATGAAAGTTAATACCAGTGTTATTTTAGTATTTTTTATTAATATTTAAAATTCTTTTATTTTTATATTTTCAGTTTTCATTTTAATTATAATTTAGGTTTAAGTAATTTTGTTACGTGGAAATATAAATATTTTTTATTTATTTATATTTGTATTTATATTTCTAAATATTTCAATTTAAATATGAATGAACTATTTTGTTATGTGCTTCTTTTTTTTATTTGTTTTTTAATATTTCTATTTAGCTTTGTTTTTATTTCAGTTTTAGTTTTACTAATGTTTGTCTAATTTTAGTACGTATTATGTCAGTTTAGATTTATGTAATATTTTTCATCTAGTTTTTAATTTAATATTTATATTTTATTTTATTTCGGCTTTAGTTTTGGTTGACAGTAACAGTCAATAGGGTTCAGTGTTGCTTCGGACCCCAATGTTTTTCAAAACATTGTGTAACTGTGCGTGCCTAGAGTCATAATAGAGTTTCAGTGAAGCACACAGCTTATACAGTTAAACCGGAAACTTGGGAAATCCCGTGCCTACTGTCCTTTATTCACTATTTTTTTCTATCTTTTTAATCACCTTGGCGACTGAACTAGTATTGATTTACAATAAATATGCAGAAGTTGATTCTTCTTTTTGTCCAGGTTTGACGGTTAGTGTAGGTGTTTCCTCATCGTGTGAACAACAGATGAAATCTGAGCTGATCGACCTGAGATATTTAATACAAGGCGAAGTCGTTGAGGAACTAATTTGATTTCATTACAGAAAAAAGTTAATCGCTTCCACTAAAGTGATGACTTGCGTTATTCAAGGGTTAGTTCACCCAAAAATGAAAATTAGCCCATGATTTACTCTCAAGGCATCCTAGGTGTATAGGACTTCCCTCTTTCAGATGAATCCAATTGGAGTTATATTAAAAAATGTCCTGGCTCTTCCAAGCTTTATAATGGCAGTGGGTGCATGTTTTTTTCACCAGTCCAAAAGAAGTCCAATAAAGCGCATCCATCCATAATAAAGCGTGCCTCTTACAAAAATGCATCGATTCGCTACAGGAGGCCTTTATTCACCCCCGGAGCCGTGTGAGGCACGCTTTATTATGGATAGATGCGCTTTATTGGACTTCTTTTGGACTTTTGAATGAAAACACTCACCCACTGCCGTGTGCTGTTTTCTCTGTTGTTATGTTTGCTTGTAAAGCGCTTTGAGAAAGCAACTTTTAAAGGCGCTATATAAAATAAATGTATTATTATTATTATTATTATTATTATTAAACACACCTAGGATTCCTTGAGGGTGAGTAATCATGGGCTAATTTTCATTTTTGGGTTAACTAACCCTTTCAGTGTTCATTACAAACTAAAACACTAGTATGTAAAACATCTGATTTCGAAACCTGCCATATAATGCGTGAATGCGGCAAAAACCTCTTATGATAATAAACACACCCTTATTTGCTTCTCAATAGGTTTTGACAGAGATTCCCATTTCCTCTTTCTTTACTGTGAAACAATGCATCTAAATTAATAAGCAGGAACCTGGTGCTATTTTTCCAGACATGCCTTTTTCAGACAAATCTGATAAACCAGTTACTCTATTCAGAGCTATATACTGGCAAGTTTATGTAAGACATCAATTGAGCAACTAAAGGCATTGACGTTCTGACTGAAATAGCACTGTTGAGACAATTGTGCAATGCAGATATCACAATACTTTAGTTTCAATGTTTTTATCTGTTTTGAATGTACAGTACATAGCAAAAGTAAATGGAAATGTAATTTTAGTCACTTTTATTGCTGTTAATCTTGTATGACAAAGGAACATAACACCATCATCAAGTCAAGGCTGCCACAAACACAGAGACCATTAATGTATTAATGGTAAACAGCAATGCAATAACATAATTACATGGAACATGCCTTTGCATATTTGTTTACATCAGGGCCATATATTTTTGACTATAGTGGTGCCTTGTTTGCACTCTGGAGCCAAAGAGGGTTGTTTGTTCTGAAATGGCACATTTGTGACCCTGGACCATAAAAGCAATCATACGTAGCACAGGTTTATTAAGAATAGATCATGTTCCATGAAGATATTTTGTAAATTTTCTATTGCAAATATATCAAAACTTAATTTTCGATTAGTAATATGCATTGCTAAGAACTTCATTTGGACGATTTTAAAGGAGATTTTCTCAATATATTGACAATATGAAACATTTTCAATAATATACAGTTTATAAAGACACATTGAGGTAATATTATAACAGTTAAACAGGTTTTAGGCAAGGCCTGGCGCGTTAATAATGGAAAAAGCATTGCAACATATGCATTTGCATCTTTTTGCTTTTATAAAATGGCAACAATAAGTAATATGATAAATATATATACATATTAAAAGTAACATGGAAGAAGATTTTATTTTTTACTTTTTCAAGTTTACATTTTCATCTAATAATTATTTCTTTATTAATTTCAGCTTTATTTTAATGAACAAAAGGGATTTTTTTTTACAGTTTAAATTTTTAATATTAATAACAATAACAAGTGAATAGGGTCCAATGTTGCTTCTTCTTTTTGCATTCAGCAGAAAAAAACAAAAGTCATACAGGTTTAGAACAACATGAGTAAATGATGACAGAAAGTCATTTTATGGTGGAGTACCCCTTCATATGTCGGCCTTTGACTTTGGCTCATCGCTTACTGTACATTTCAAACATCAGCATGAGTCTCAGCTGCTTTGATCATGCGTGATGTTGGTCGTGGGTTTGCTGATCACAGCCGCTTTAACAATCCCTTTAGTTTTCGCCATGAGCCGATCACATTTGAACATTTCCACGAAGGCCTGCTTAAAACAATCGCCCGATAACGTATAGAGCGGCAGGTTGAAAATGATGTTGATTGCAGCGATCGGCCTCGAGATGATATAGGTGGCGTGAGCCCAGCGGTCCAGCATGCAGTCGGTTTCCGGAGTGAGTCTCGTGTAGATCCTCCAAGCCCGTAGCACGTGAAAAGGGAAAAAGCACACAATGAAGCACGTCAGAATCAACACGATGAGCCGCCTCGCTCGAACCCGTTTGCTGCTTTCCTTATGAGGACCTTTCTTTAGCACTTTAATGATGCGCCAGTAGCAAAGACAGACCACGACTAGAGGAACCAGATATCCAAGCACGGTCAACACCCAACTATACGGCCACATGAATTGTGGGTTGTTGCTCGCAAGATCCAAGCAGTAGGTTTTGTTGTCGTGCTGCTTCATTTCAATTTGGTTAAAAATCGGACTTATTTCTGCAACCGCCACGGCCCAGCACAGGATGCACGCCAGCGTTCCCCAGCGGTTCTGCTTGATGCTGTGTGCGTGCGTCGGATGCACGACCGCCACGTAGCGAAAGATGGCCAGACAGGTGAGGAAGAGGATGCTGCCGTAGAGGTTGAAGTGGAAGATGAAGCGCGTGAAGCGACACATGATGATGCCCAGCGTCCACGAGTCATTGAGGCTGTAGTAGTAGGTCAGGAAGGGCAAGGAGATCATGAAGAGGAGGTCGGTGATGACGAGGTTCACCATGATGATGGTGCTGCTCTTCCAGGGGCGAACTTTAACCACGTAGACCAGCAGAGCGGTGATGTTGCCAATCACGCCTACGACGAAGATGGCGCCGTATAACACGGGCAGATAGTAGCGCTTCATCAGATCGTCCACGTCGGTGCAGTTGTCAGTCGAGCTGTTGCTCCAGCCGTAGTAAAGGTTGCTCATGGTTGTTCCTGCAGCAGGAATGAAGGAAAAATTGTTAGAAAGCTCACATGCAACATTTGTCTTACTGATCATTCCTGGGATTTCAGGCACGACTTGGTTCGGTTTGTTATACCTGATTTCACACAATAACCTCATAAAGGTTATCTCAAAGCTCGTAGCACATGAAAAGGAAAAAAGCACACAATGAAGCACGTCAAAATCAACACAATGAGTCGCCTCGCTCTAACCCGTTTGGTGCTTCCCATATGAGGACCCTTCTTTAGTTCTTTCATGATGCGCCAATAGCAAAGACAGACCACGATTAGAGGAACCAGATATCCAACTACTGTCAACACCCAACTGTACGGCCAGATGATTTCTGGATTGTTACTCGCGAGATCCAAGCAGTAGGTTTTGTTGTTATGCTTCACCGTGTCAAAATGGTTAAAAGCCGGACTTATTTCTGCAACCGCCACAACCCAACCCAGGACGCAAGCCAACGTTCCCCAACGCTTCTGCTTGATGCTGTGTGCGTGTGACGGGTGCACGACCGCCACGTACCGAAAAATGGCCAGACAGGTGAGGAAGAGGATGCTGCCATAGAGGTTGAAGTGGAAGATGAAGCGCGTGAAGCGACACATGATGATGCCCAGCGTCCACGAGTCATCAAGGACGTAGTAGTAGGTCAAGAAGGGCAAGCAGATCATGAATAGGAGGTCAGTGATGATTAGGTTCACCATGATGATGGTGCTGCTCTTCCAGGGACGAACTTTGACCATGTAGACCAGCAGAGCAGTGATGTTACCCACAACACCTACAATGAAGATTAAGCTGTACATGGTGGGGAGATAGTAGCGTTTCACAAGATCGTCCACGTTGGTGCAGTTGCCACTCGAAGTGTTACTCGAGCCATAGTAAAGGTTGCTCATGGTTGTTCCTGCAGCAGGAATGAAGAAAAAATTGTTAGAAAGCTCACATGCAACATTTGTCTTACTGATCATTCCTGGGATTTCAGGCACGACTTGGTTCGGTTTGTTATACCTGATTTCACACAATAACCTCATAAAGGTTATTTAAACACTGCAGTCTGCATGCCATCTCTGTTTAAACAGTGAATTTCAATCTGAAACTGATTTGCAGTAATAGTTATTTCACATTTTTTATATGTGAAATATGTATTATTTTTTTATCAATAATAATAATAATAATAATATACATTTAATTACAATTAAAATAATAGAATTAATTAACTGTTAGCTACACCAGGTAAAAAAAAATAATAATAATAATTTTCCTAAACAGTTTTTTTATTACAGAGCAAATTAATTTCAAATCTAGTGTTTTTACACTATTTGGAATAATTTATTTATTACTTGAAATCATGTTACATTTGGATTGAATCCTTTTTTTTTTTTTCAACAGCATTTTTGTCATATTTCCTGTAAAGATATCTAAACCGCATGTTTAGTTAAGGAACAAACAAATATGATCAGTATTATATTTATATTATTGGTCAACTTATTACTTAAACACAAAATCATGACAAATATATATATATATTTTTTAATTATATATAATGTTTCAACTTAAAGTGTTTGTGCTGCCTTGAAATATTACGTTTACGCAAACTGAAATGTGAAGTTGTATTATAACACTACATTTAGCAAACTGCAACATTCATTTTTGACATGAATAATTCAAAATATATTCTCTGAAAATATCTTAACATCCTATGGAGTATATGACAATGACAAAAATACTGAGATCTAAAAACACAGTTCAACAGTCTGTTTTAGAAGTAAATGAATGAATACTTACAATGTGTGCAGATGCTTCAGGTTCAGCCACTGGTTCCTCAGTGAAACGGACTGCGGTGATCTCGAGAACAGTTTAAAACCCCCGAGCTGATCCTCCCTCTTCTACGGAAGAGTTCCTGATCAATCTCTTTTGCAGATCTTATTCATTTGCATTCCTGTGTGTCACATCCGAATACCAGCAGTGAACCATCTGCTGACTGACACACAGTACACACACAGGTTGACTGGCACACAGGCCTACAATCCGTGAACACATGGGAATATGGGTGGGGTTTACAGCTACTGCCTCACAGGTGTGATCTCATTGTTATGATACTTGACTATGGGAAAGTGTGTCACTGGTAAATTCCTTTGCTGTCAATGCTGTATTAACATGATACACCTATACGAACACCTGTTTGAAGATGTTTTATCACTCATCCAAGACGGCAACAATTACTGTGTCATGTGTCATGTGGGTTTGCATACCAGCTTTGATAAAATGATCATGTCCGGGAGGCAGCGGTGCAATTATCAGCTTTACAAAAAACACTGTGCCAAGAGAAATAAATAATGCTTAGTCTTAACTGGCATTCTATCCGTCCTGAACAGAACTAACAAAAAACAAGATCTAGTTCTCATCAAGTTGTGAAAAAAAAATATTCTGAATGTCCTCCTGAACTTTCAGAACATCCAGTGTAATCCAGTAAATGCAAACAACCAGACAAATTTGAATGAATATTATCTTAATATTAGTGGAAGAACATTTGTTTATACCTTTGAGAGAACCTTACAAGAACATTGCTGTTAACATTAACCAAAGTTATGAGAACCCGAAAATGATATACCAGAGGCATGTTTTTTTTTGTTTTTTTTTTGTCTGGTTTTGAAGTGTGCATCCCTTTTTCCTTTCATGTTAATTTAAAACGTGGCTGGCAACACCAAGGTCATGGGTTTGATTCCCACAGAATGCATGACCTGATGTACTGTATATGCACTGTAAGTCACATTGGATAAAAGCATCAGCAAAATGCATACAATGTAAAATTACCCACACTTTTTCAGAAAATAATGAATTTAAAGAACCCCATGAAATTGAAACTGAGTTTGTGGGTTTTACCCAGCTAAAAAAAAAAAAATGTTTTGCTAACATTCCCATTAAATTATGAAAACGTTATTTTATTTCTGAATGTTCAAATGTGTTGAAACTTTTTTCTTGTTTATACGAATATTAAAAAATTGCATTGTATCATTTTGCAAACGTTATTGGAATGTTACTAAACAACTAAAGTTGTAGGCCTAACATTTAAAATGTTAGATGAACACCCAAACAAAACATTTCAGAAAAAAACATCCCAAGAATATTTAAGTAACGTTGTTTTTGTGCTTGAAAACATTATTAAAGATCATGGTAACTTTGAACCAACATTCTGTTGTCATTACTGGAAGAACATTTGTTCATAACCTTGATACAATGTAAGCCAGAGTTCTGAGAACAATTTGAATGAATATTATCTTAATATTAGTGGAAGAACATTTGTTTATACCTTTGAGAGAACCTTACAAGAACATTGTTGTTAACATTAACCAAAGTTATGAGAACCCGAAAATGATATACCAGAGGCATGTTTTTTTTTTGTTTTTTTTGTCTGGTTTTGAAGTGTGCATCCCTTTTTCCTTTCATGTTAATTTAAAACGTGGCTGGCAACACCAAGGTCATGGGTTTGATTCCCACAGAATGCATGACCTGATGTACTGTATATGCACTGTAAGTCACATTGGATAAAAGCATCAGCAAAATGCATACAATGTAAAATTACCCACACTTTTTCAGAAAATAATGAATTTAAAGAACCCCATGAAATTGAAACTGAGTTTGTGGGTTTTACCCAGCTAAAAAAAAAAAAATGTTTTGCTAACATTCCCATTAAATTATGAAAACGTTATTTTATTTCTGAATGTTCAAATGTGTTGAAACTTTTTTCTTGTTTATACGAATATTAAAAAATTGCATTGTATCATTTTGCAAACGTTATTGGAATGTTACTAAACAACTAAAGTTGTAGGCCTAACATTTAAAATGTTAGATGAACACCCAAACAAAACATTTCAGAAAAAAACATCCCAAGAATATTTAAGTAACGTTGTTTTTGTGCTTGAAAACATTATTAAAGATCATGGTAACTTTGAACCAACATTCTGTTGTCATTACTGGAAGAACATTTGTTCATAACCTTGATACAATGTAAGCCAGAGTTCTGAGAACATTAGCTGTTAGCTGCATATCTATTAGCTTTGAGCTTGTCTATAAGCTAAATGCTCCTAAACGTGACAGAATTCATTCACTATGCTTTTAAGCAGAAATACTGATACAGATTTCTGTCCAATCAAAAGCTCTTTATGTGAATGTCCTTCTTTAAATACCACTAGCAAACATCATACTGCTTCGATATATCATGGCATTAATTGTAAGCACTATGTTCTATATGGCAGAAATAGTATTTAATTGTTGCTGGCATGCTAATAATAATAGTATTTAGTATAGTAATTATTGCTGTGATATAATAAGGCGTATTGGCTGTCTTGTAAAAATAAAAAAATCAACTCTTTGCTGTTTCTCCCTGTTGCAATAGCATGTCAGCGCATCAAAGGTGACTGTGATAACTGAGCAATTTCATGAGTTGAATGTGCAGGACAATCGTGAGAGAAAAGCTAGTGCTGGTCAAACTCAAGTTCACCGTATTAATATAAACATAAACACACAGCCACACATTACTCACTGTCTTCATTTTCAACATACTGTGTGTGTGTGTGTGTGTGTGTGTGTGTGTGTGTGTGTTTCAAACTAAACCAACTTATTTTTTGACACTTGCTTTTTAATTACTTTGTTATTTATTGCAGTGACATTTAGGCATTTTTAAAAATAGATTTAAGTGTCCACATACATTTTGGGGCAACTCTGTATTTAATACAAAAGGAGTCATTAAATTATTTGTCATTAAAATCATTATTACTCTTCATTTACTGAAAGGTTAGAACATGACTTGAAAATTCTGAGGTCCTTAAGTAAATAATTTAGATCACCAAGGATCAGCTAGAGAAAAGATTAGGAACCCCTGTGGTTAAGAAATCATTAAAGAGTTTAAAAGAGACTGTTTAATATCTTAGAGGAAAGTGCTCTAGTTTAACCACTAGAGGGAGAAATACTCACACTTAAATTAAGAATTTAAAAGAGATAGATAGATAGATAGATAGATAGATAGATAGATAGAACAGAACGATAGATAGATAGATAGATAGATAGATAGATAGATAGATAGATAGGTAATACATTATAAACGAGACATTTTTACAATATATTTTAATATTTAATTTAATGCATGGTTAACTGAAAAGAAACTTAAACATTTTATTTTACCTATTTTTTATTTTTTTCATTCATTTATTTTTATTTGATTTTCATTCAGTCTAACTTGATACTGAAGTAACAAACTAAAATAAAAATACAAAACAGTTATACAAATAAATTTAAAATACTCAGGATTACTAAAACTTCAAATAAAATTCAAATGAAAACAGAAAATATAATAAAAAATAAAAAAAAACAGATTCAAAATATTACCAAAATCTTAATGCTACTGCAATAATACTGTTTTAATCTGATTCATTGTTTCAAACACTAGAGATACAACATGTAAAATTTAACTTATTATGCAACTTGAAACAAACAAAACAACTGACAGAAAGAAAACTGACTAGTCACATTAAAACTTAAAGGAATTATTTAAAAATTCAAGCCTTGCGTTAAAAAATTAAAATCTTCCAGTTTATTTTATGCATTAATGGATGCATAAAAACCTGTGTGGTCTCACACTGAAAAATCAAGCAATCACTGTGGTGATTTGGCCAAGTGAAACCCTCAGAGCATGATAGACTGTGGTTTGACTAAAATAGGATCCGATGGCCTATTTTAGGTGACTAGAAAATGAGAGCACATTGAAAAGCAGGCCAGACTGAAGGGCAGGCCGGGTTTCTGCATCAGAAGGCACTGGATCTATATGTGGATCCAGCCTCTGATTGTCATGATCTCAGATCAGAATCAGCTCTCAGATGGGCTCAGGAGGGACCACCTG